TTTTCAATCAGTATACTCTAAGACTCAATTCGCAATTTTTCATATAAATTCCGGATTAACTAATTAATGAATTTAATTGAGTATTTAAGTAAATTAAATTGAATATTGCTAAATACATTTCATGAATATTAATTATAATTAGAAGATTTGATTTTTAAATGAGAATTCTTAGCTAATGTTTATGTTGGTTAACCTAGGAATTTTATTAAAATATTGTTAGGGGGAAATTAAAATCTAATGCTTAGACGAGTAAGTATAATATAGAAACTTTTGCGCGAACTGTGGAATCCGTTGTCTCGATTTTCTTATCAGTATACTCTAAGACCAATTCGCAATTTTTCTATATAAAATTCCGGATTTAAACTATATTATAGAATTGGTAATAATCGTTGAGTAATTTAAGTAAAATTAAATGTACATATTGCTAAATACATGTTCTATTGAATCATTACATATAATGGTAGAAGAAGTTTGATTTTTAAATGAGAATTCTTAGCTAATTTGTTTTATCGTTGGTCTTAACCTAGTGAATTTTATTTAAGAATATTTTTGTGGGTAGGGTGATAATTACAAATATCTAAATGCTTAGACGTAAGTAAGATTATGGAATATAGAAAACTACCAAATACGGCAAGCATCTGTATTTGACATGGCGAATTCAAGTTTTGATTATACAAAAATATATAGTTATTTGGTAATTAGGTATAGAAATACTAATAATACAGTTTTGAAATAATGCTCGAAGGCAATTTTTTGACTTATTGGGATTAGTTGGGTTGGGGTTACTAGTGCATGTGTGTGTGTGTTGTGTGTGGATGGGATGACGTATGTAGCCTAAGAGGCATGAGTTATTTGATTGATTGCCGAATCTGGAATGGTTGTTCGTGAATTGAGTAATTGATATTAATATGATGATAATTGGTTATGGCGGCATGGGAATGCGTTTAATGTGAGATTGGTTTCCGATAGGATGGGATCTCTTATAGAATGAAATGTTTGTATATGATTATGGGTTTGATTCAAATTTTTAGGGAGATTCCGGCCGAAATTCGATAGAACCTAGGTTTAGTCTGGGTAATCACATAAATAAATTAGTTGGGTTTATTAGTTAATTCTTTAACGTTAACTACATAAGGAAATTAAAGCTCTTTTTAATTATTTTATTATTATTTAGTATTTGAATTTTAGTTATTTAATTATTTTTATATTTAGGTTTTCGGATGGATCAATTATTATAACTTATATCATTTGTGTTGATACTATTTTGCTCTATTTTAATTATGATAGACTAATGTAATGTCATTGTGTATTTGACTATTCATGTTTAAATTAATTGTTGCTATGGGCTTGCATTTAATTGCATGTTAATTAATTGTTTGCTATGCTTGCATTTAATTGCAATACTTGATTGATTGTGTTGTGATAATTTTATGCCTTGTATGTGTGGAGTTGGGATGAAGTGGGTCACCTTGGGTTTGTGAGGGCGGTCTACAAGACCGTTGGCCGTATGGGAGATCGACGCCCCTCGTGTGCATCTGATGATATGGATTTTAATGGAAACCACTGGGTGGCCTCCTGATGGTATGGAAAAGAAAAGAGAGAATGGAAAAACAATGAGAGGGCTAGTCAAGTGAGGATTAGACCGGTTATCCGGATATGGGGATCGGCTCCCTGGTGCACACGTGCACACGTTATGAGAGGATGCCATATGGGCCATGTGTGAGGACGACTCATTGGAGATTTCGGTGACGCCATTGATTAATTTTCACGTGATGTGATTATGTGAAGATGTTAATAATTGTGAGTGCTGTTGTGATGCCATTTGTGTAGCTATCTGCGTGAGCATATAACTAGTCGAATGACTAGATTGAAACATTTACACGTTTGTATGAATGCATGTGTTGTGCAATAACTATTATTCATTAATAAACTCACATGTCTTCTGTTTAACCTTTCAGGAAGTAGATTCTTGTAAACTCAATTAAAGCTCTGTCTCTTTCCTTACAGAGTTAGAAAATAAATTTTAGAGTTAGCAATTATTTAAATTATGTAGCCATATGTACAAGAATCTATCTGCTTGTAAACTCCGCAGTTGTAGAATTTATAAACTTTTAGTCGTGTATTAATGAGTCGTGTATTAATGGAGATGAAATAATTCTGTGAGCCCATATTATAAAAGAGATGTATTGTAAAATTGGGCTCGATCTATGAAATGTTTAAGATGTTAAATTTAGGCCGAGATATATTATAATTACGAGATTTGTTTTGCATAGTTATATGAGCTGAATGTTTGAAATTTATATTGAGAAAGTGAAATTTTAGTGATTCAGGCTCACTACGGGTCTTGGGAGCCTTAAGCTTACCTGGGCCCTGGTGTCGATTCGGCTCGTGGAAATGGTTCGTGACAATTATGTATTATTTAATTATACTAAAAATCTTAATTGAGAAATTTTATCCTATCTCAATTAGGAATTAGCAGCATATAGTATATATCTTTATTTATAATCTTAGAGATATTGTGATAATATTTTAAAATATATAATTTAATTAAGAAAAAAAATTTATAATTTAAATTATTTTAATTTAACTTATTTATAATTTCATAAAGTTGTTAATTTGTTGAAATTTATTTAAAATTAAAACAACATCTATTTAAATTCAAAAACCTTAGAACTAATTATATAAAAATTAATGTCTATAACAAAATTGAAAGAAAAGGAATATATATTTAAAATCATTGAATTTTATATTTATTTTTGAATCAATAAAATCAATAAATTTTCTTAGACGATATTAAGAATAATAAAATAAATACAATAAAATGGACAATAGAAATTCAATCAATTCAATCATAGACATATATATATCATTTTTAATGATAATTTCATATAAATTACTTTTTTTATGATTTATTAAAATTTTTCTAATTTGATAGAGTAATAGAAATTAGAAGAGAAAAAATATATCAATGTCGAAAAGAAATTATATAAAAATTATTAAAATTACAAAAAAAAAAAAGATCGTATCAAACCTGAAACAACTCTCTCTATTTACAGTCTAGTAATAAGCAATTAATGATAATTCAATATATTATCATTAAAACTAATAAAGACAACTATGTATTGCAATTTTAAGACAAATAAATATTGAAACGTTTAGATATTCATCGTTAATACAACTATTAATAAATATTTTCCCCATTAACCTTCTTTATCATTCTTTTAAATATAAAATTTTCATTCATAATAATAAATGATAATAATGATTGATTATAATGATATTTATCAATGTTATAATAATATTAATTTAAAAATTAATTTAAAAAGATAAGTTATAAAAATTTTCATTCATAATAATAAATGATAATAATGATTGATTATAATGATATTTATCAATGTTATAATAATATTAATTTAAAAGATAAGTTATAATAAATATTAATATGAAAATCCACATCAAAATTATGATAATTTTTAAATTAAAAATAAGTTATAATATTATAATAGTTTTAAATATTTAATACATATTAAATGATAATTGAATGACAATTAAGACCAGTATTATGTAATTTTAATTAAAAAAGATAGGTTACAATATTATAATAATTATCGTTATTTACTAATATGTATTAATTATGATAATTGAATGATAATTAATATCAATATTTATATAAAATTATAACTAATAATTAAATTATATGCGTTACTATCAAAATTTAAGAGTCCTGTGTAATATTATAATCATATCTGTCATCACCAAAAATCTTATATAACCAAAATACGAGAAAAACATTCATTTAAGATTTGCTTTATATATATATATATATATAACACTACCGTGGAAGTTTTTTGTCCTATTATATTGATATATTATGTTTACCTTGTATAAAGAAAATGTTGCCACTAAATTCTATTTGCTTTGACGGTCAAACAACTATTATTTTCTTTAACTATTATCAAATTCTATCAATAATTTGTTTGTTTTCGCTATGCATTGGAAGATTTCTCAATTATTATTCATTCTTGAGGTATTAATTATATATATATATATAAAAGAATATAATAAGAATATAATAATGCATATCAATTATTAAGGGCAATATCTAAAGAGCAAGTAGAATGTTAGAATGTTGGACAAGACAATAATTATATATGCAAGCACAATAAGTTCATTTTTCTTTTCTTTTCTTTTCTTTTCTTTTTCATTTTCTATTTATAGTTATAGAATATATATTTCGCTATTTTGCATTTTTTTTATCTTCAAATGTAATTATATTTATCTTAACATTTATTATCTTCTAAAAATATATATGACCAATGAAATTAAATATTACTATAAAAATAATGGTTTCTTAATTTATTTTGGCTAATTAAAATATAGGACAATTTATAATTATTAATTAACCAAATCCTTTTTTCACCTTCACAATGTTCCCTATTCTTAAAAAAAAAAAAACAAATTATATATAAATATATGAAAGTTAATATTAAAATTATAAAAAAAATTATACTCCCTCCGTTCTTAAATATTTATTATATTTGGAAAAGTACTATTTTCTCAAATATATGTTACATTTGTAGATTGCACGTATAATAAATTATGTTTTATTATATTTACTCTTCATATATGACCAATAATAATTATTTCACTTCTTCAATAATTTTGTTGTAACTTAGACAAATTAGATGTAGTATAGTTAGTTTAATCAATAATTTATTGTAACTTAAACAAATTGAATGATTTCCTTAAAGGACGTAAAATACAAAATATAATAAGTATTTAGGAACGAGAGAGTATAGAGTAAATAATATAGATAAAAAGTTTTCTATTAGAGTGATGACATATTTATATGCATCTCTAATTATAAAATTATATAGACAAAAAAAAGATAAAATTGTATAAAATTTAATTACTAGAAAATTAGTATATATATATCATAGAAAATTAAAATATCAAAAATACTGATATCAGATCAATTTGTGAATTTAGGGATTTGGAAAATACTAAAATAGTACTTCTCTCTCAATTAAACCTTTTTTTTTTTTTTAATTTGACAAATTTAAGCTTAGAGAGGGTGCGTCGTGCGAGGGTGTGTTGTGTTGACATCGGCGGTGCTCGAGGAAGAGAAAGAAAATGGGAAAGAGAGAAAAGAAACAGAGGCACCATCAACACAGAAGCAGAGGACCTTCTTACTTTAATACAGAAGAAGAAGATGGTGATTTTGACTCCCCACAAAGCTTACCATCTTCGTCTTTCCTTGAACAAGACCCAGAGCCAGAAGAAGGTGGTTTGGATGATGAAGAAGAAGAGGAGGAGGAGAATAATGACGCAAAACCATCCATTGATAGTCCCTCAAAGTTTCTTCTTTACCAACAATCCGTACAGGTAATTAACCATTAATCAAAACTTTGTTTATTTTCCTGTTTGGTTCTGAGAAAGTTTTCTTTTACTTGGTTATTTTGGTAGAATACTTAATGAAGGAAAAACCCCAGAACCCATCAGCAAATTTTGGTTCTTGGTTTTCTATTTTGATTGTTAATAAAGTGTGGGTTATTATAATAATTAAGTGGTTTTGGTTTCTGCTTGTATAAAGTTTGTATTTTTAGGATTGTAACAGGTTTATGGAATTTTCAATTGATTGCAGTCACCCAAAGGAGACATAAGTTATTTGCAGAAGTTCTTTTTGATGTATGTTGGTGGAAGGTTGCCTCTCCATTTCCAGGAGGATTTTTGTGGAACTGCTCTTCTTAGGTGAAATACTTATCCTTCTCTGCCTTTTAACTCTCTTTTGAAGGAGGATTATTTTAGCCCATTGTATTAATCTGTAAATGCAAATCAAATAGCTTAAAGGGGTAACTGGATCATAAAATAAACTTTTCATGCGTTTTACCTTGAGATTTAGTGTTGAGTGTTGCTTAAGAATTATGCCATCTAGAACTAAATGCTAGCTGTTTGACAAAATACATTAAGGTAGTTTCAAAGTTGAGAACTGAACCATTCATAATCTAATGCTCTAATTATTTTTATAAATTTTGTGACACGTTCATGACACACATAATTATAATCTTAGATTGTGATACTGGTAAGGAAACTATTCTCTTTTGGATGGTGGCTCTTGGAATTGTGTATTGCTGCCAATGTGCTTTATTATTTCAAGGCCACTTTGCAGCTTTGCCGATATTCGTGAGAGTGTATGACACTATTCTTATATGTGCTTCAAGTTGCTATCTAATTAGCCTTACAAAATATCTCAATGCTAAGCAAAATAAGGATTTAAGAATGCTGACCAGCTTAGGTAAAGACAAGAGTCATCAAGCTGATTATTAATTACAGTGCTAAGTTTATCTTTTAATACCCGAAAGCTATATGCTTTTGACAGTACAGAATGGCTTCGAAGTGACTCAAGGCGGACTGCTGTAGGAGTGGATTTGGACCTTGAGGCACTAAATTGGTGCATGGAGAACAACATAAACAGAATTGGAGCTGATGGATATTCCCGAATATCCCTCTTTCATGGAAACATCTTGCAACCTTCTGAGGCCAAACTAGTCAGGTTTGAGCCCCAAGAACTTATAAGTAGCATTAAACTGAAAGAGCATGAAGACTATCGAGAGAGTACTGCGCTAGATTGTACTGCCCAAGCAGGCTTATCTGATTCTACTAGTGATAAGTTCTTGAAGAAAAACTTTCAGTTACCAGCAAGAGATATCGTGTGTGCTTTTAACTATAGCTGCTGTTGCCTCCATAAACGAGCAGATCTTGTTTTGTATTTCAAACATGTCCATGATGCATTGTCCAAAAAGGGTGGCATATTTGTAATGGATTTATATGGAGGAACATCATCAGAACGCAGGCTAAGGCTCCAGAGGAGATTTCCAAATTTCACGGTAATTATTTATTCTATAAATTAAGTACCACGACAAAAACAGCATTAGCAGGATACTCATAAGTGCATATTTGACGTGCATCATTTTCCTTTCTGGGCAATTCGGCTTTGGAAGACAGAAAATTCTAAGGCATTAACTCTATGAAAACCGTTCTGTAAATATTTCTACTTTAAATGGGAAGCAGATCATGAATGTAGAAATTCTCTATAGGCATATAGCAGTTTTGCTTCCTTTCAGTGTTCAGACCTGCATGATGATCATAATGGCTGCCATTAATCTAAGTTATTTATATTTGTAAGCAAAATTTGGAACTTTTCCACTCAACTATCACGCGTCCATGCAGTTGGAAGTTCCATTTTCTTTGTCCTCCTCTCTTACTGATTTCTTTTTTGATCTTTATTTTTTGGTTTAAAATGTTCTTTTGGGTAGTTTAGATGAAAAATTAGAGACAAGGACATACAATGTAGAATAAATATGGTTTAAGAATGAAGGAAATTGATATCCTGATTTGCTGTCGTAGCTGAGTTCTCTTACTAATGGTTATTAAGAAGTGCAATGATCTCATATGATTAGAATGTAGAACTAAATATTTTTTTTATTGCCAAATTGCACTTCTCAAAGTTTGTGTTTTTGTCACTATTCAACATTTCAAATCAAATGTGCAGTATATCTGGGAGCAAGCTGAATTTGACATAATTGAGCGCAAAACAAGGATTAGCCTCCATTTTCATCTTAAGCAGCAGCAGAAAAAACTTCGCCATGCATTCTCATATAGCTGGAGGCTGTAAGTCATATGTTTTTCCCATCAAATTATCCAGCTTCTAATGTTTGTTAGTATTGACATCAAGTTGCTTTGATCTAATAATTCCATTAATGAATGCTTACATATCCAGGTGGTCATTGCCAGAGATCAAAGACTGTTTAGAAGAGGCTGGATTTCAATCCATCCACTTTTGGCTTCGTCAGATGCCAGACAGTGAAGAAAATAGGAGCACAGAGGGATTTGGCGTTGGTCGAGACATAAAGTATGAGGAAGTCAGAAATTTTGAACAGGAAGATTCTTGGAATGCCTATATTGTTGCCGTTGCAAACTAAAAGTAATTCTGGCTTCATTTTTTCAAGTTAATCTTGTCATGCTATATAAATTGCTACTCTCAGTCTCAGCTAAAGGTTTTGAAATGATCACTTCGACTAGATTCTACAGAGCTGTTTTCTGCCTTTTACTCTGTACTAATCACTCGTTGGAAATCTAATTTTTTGAATGATATTTCATAATTTCAAATTTAGAGCATAAATGTGTGAATCTTCATCTTCTTTACTAAAACTGCATATGCATGCACCTCAGAGGATGGAAGGTAATTTTCCTTTTTCCTTATTTAAATTCTCTCTTAAACAACATACATATAGTGTATGGAAAACTTTACCGTTGGTGGCTAAGGTTCAAGATTCACCAGCTTCAGCAATTTTGGAGTTAAATCTTCTTCACCTTGAGATAATGAAGGCCAAGCTGACACAACAGGCATTGCGATGCGAATAGCTTTGCTTGGAGAAATAGGAGGAACATGTATCACGCGTGCAAAATCTTATATTTGTTAAGCTTAAAGCTTCTTTTGATTTGATATTGCAACAAGTGACCTTTTACTATAATTAACATGCATTCAGTACGATATATTAACGTGTATGGTAACATTACCATGGAATTGAAAAGGTTTTTTGCCCAGGATAATGCATATTTTTAGCATGTGTTGCATTTGAAACAGTTAGGTCTGGCTGTTCATAGTTGGTTTGGTTCGGTGTGGATATAATAATCGAATTAACCTTAAACTGGTGGTTGGAAAAAATTTAAAATCAAATCAAATCATCAAAAATTTCAAATCAAATAAAACCTTTGGTTGCAGTTCGGTTCAATTTGATGGTTTGAAATAAGAGAATTAAACTTCATCATTTATCTAGTGGAAAAAAAAAAAAACAAGATTATCATTACACTAAGAATGAAAAATTAATAGAAAGTGTAATAAAATACACATGATAAATAGCTATTAAAAGTGTCTAAATTAATTTTTTATATGTATATTCTTAGTATAGTATAACGGATGTTACATATTCAATAAGATAATAATTAATCAATTTATAAATATAGAATTTAAATTTAAATTTAATAACATTAGTAAAAATTATAAAAAATCATAATTTTACTCATATATAATTTGTACATATATATTAATCTAATTTTTCATAAATCTTTAACATTAGAACATTTTATAAAATAATTACATAACTTATTTAATTAATAAAAAATTATTATCCAATATAAACTAATCAATACAAAAGAAATTTTCATTAAAAAAATTGAATTAAATTTAAAAGTTCAAACACAAACATATACATATATATATTAGTTTGGCTCGGTTTGGATGTTTTTTACTTTAAAATCACAAAACCAAAGCAAAAAAAAAATTGATTTTTTTTTTTAATTTTATAAAATCAAACTAAACCGTGAATCTTTTAAGATCATGAATTTAGATGAATTTCAACGGTTCAGGCGGTTTGACAGGAATGGTAATATAATAACAACAATAGAATAGTGCTAGATATAAGAAAAAACAATCAGTCACATATTAAACGAAGAAATAGTGTCACTTATTAGTGACAGGTAGGCTGGAACCAGATGGCTTAAATTGATCACTTGAGGAATTTGTTTTGTTTGGATACAAAATAAAGGCAAACAATATTCAAATTCATATTTTTATGTTTTTGAAGGAATTAATTATTACCGTTGCATTTGTTTGACCAATTGGAAATGGAAAGACATGTGGTCTTAACACTTTTTAAATTAACACTCTCAATCTTCCTAAATTGCCTCAGTGAAAATTGATTGCGCTAATCATCTAATTTTTTCTCCATTATGGGCATTACCCAATTAAAATAATAGTAGTAAAATTACTTAGCCTGATTTCTTGATGCTAAAAATTATACTTTGGTAATTAACTTCTCTAAGTTTCATTTGGTCCATTGCAAATATCTTGTGACTATGAACAGAGTTCCAATAAAACTGCACAAGGTAAATGGAGTAGCTTACATTTCTCAAATAGTTTCAATTGGTCTCTAACTATTGTAAAAAAAAAAAAAAAAAAAAGCCTCCAGTGAAAATTGATTGCGCTAACTCCATGCTAATTTTTTCTCCATTATGGGCATTAACCCAATTAAAATAATAGTAGTAAAATTACTTAGCCTGATTTCTTGATCTAAAAATTTATACTTTGGTAATTAACTTCTCTAGTTCACTTGGTCCACTTGCAAATATCTTGTGACTTATGAAACAGAGTTCCAATAAAACTGCACAAGGTAAATGGAGTAGCTTACATTTCTCAAAATAGTTTCAAAATTGGTTCTAACTATTGTAAAAAAAAAACAAAAAAAAAAAAAAAAAAAAAAAAAAAAAACTCTAATTTAATTTACGTGATGATGAAGGACAATGGATGACGAGTCTAATCAATTTTGTTAATGTTAAAATTAGGGTAATGCTTAGCGCGACACCCATTATGTGGTATAAGCCCTTTAGTATCTTGTTACATGCTTTACTCACTAAAATTGTAAATAGGGCTGCATATGATCCGTTTTAATCCGACCCATTCCGATCAATCCAATCCGACAGATTTTGGATGGGTCATTTTTATAATTCACGGGTTGGGTTGGGTCAAGAGTTAACTAGAAAAATACGCAGACCTGACTCAATCTAACCCATAAATAATGTCAAAAATATATATCTATATTATATAGTTATAAATTATTTAAGTTAACTTGATTTGATTTGCAATTTTGAGTATAAATATTAAATTATTACTTTTTTTTCTTTAGCATAAACTTATTTTCAATTGTTGCTAGTATATTGTAATTTAAAATATATTGTATAATTATGTTACTAAGTACTTTTAATTTTATTGATTTTTTTATTAGGAAATTTAATTTTTCATTGTTCTTGCTTATTATTATTATTATTATTAAGAAATTTAATTTTGATATTGTTATTGAAATATGTTTATAGTTTGGAAAAATTATTGGATAGTTATGTTTTTAAGTATATTTAATTTTTTGGTAATTCCTCTTACATAGTTATATTTTATTTAAAACTATTTTTACTATTTATCGTTTATCTGACTCGCGGGTTTATATTGAACCGGTACCCAACTCAACCCAATCCATTTATAACTTGCAGGTTCACGCATTTAATGGGTTGAGTTGGGTCAAAACTATCATTGACCTGCACATCAGATAAGGTACTTTAAATTAATAAACTCGATCCACGTGCAGATCTAGCTATAATTATGGTGAAAGATTCTCTAATACTACTGTAAAACATGGTCGTAGGACGACAAATTATTGGTCACCAATTCTCCGGAAGACCATCATCTCCGTTTATTCTCCATGATTGGCATGTAATACTAATGAGATGAAGGTAGTGAGTCTCATGCTACTTATATAGGGAATCAGAACAAACACGTTGGCATTCATGGACTGAGTGAGCTGAACATTTGTCACTGACAGATAACCACATGGAGGTTTACTCCTTGTTAATGGTTCATCATCTAGGTCTTGATTGTGAACAATGTAAAGTTAAATCTTGCATATAGGTTAGAATTCGATACTGCTTTTATATATGTCTAACTATATGTATATGAGCACGTGTTGGTTTTAGTCAGTTGTACGTAACAAGTGATCAGCCTAGACGAGATTCATATCTTGAGTAAATAAGGATAAGGTCTTATGACTATCTTGTCATTCTTGATAGAAGACCTTGGCCGAGGCAAATAGATTCATTAGAAAAAGATTTTCTAGTGGGAATCTTTCTATCAAGAATTGGAACCAAGATGAGGGCATAATAAACCATGACTTTAACTGAGATCAGGATCTTCAATCACAAATATTATGATAAAAAATTTATAAGGATTGTAACATCCCTTCCCGGTCCACCCGTTAACCCGAATGAACCGAACCGAGACGCTACAAACTGGTTGACTTTATGTCCTGTCATGCTTAAATCATAATGTATATTGAATATAATATCATGCTGATGTTGTTTACTCAATTAATGTATCCATTGAATATCTGATTAAGCAGGTACGAGCTCAGGAAGGACTGATATGTCAACTGTTCGAGATTTGAGAGGCGTCGAGTTCTATCATGCATTATAATGTGTTTACATTAATAATGTACTTAATATTTACAAGACATCGAGTACCTCAGTGTCAAAATGAAATGGCCCAACTGGTGCCCTGTAACATTGCCATGAAAGGGATAGACAAAGATACACATCCAAGATGAGTAGCTACCCTGAAGGACTGAGTCTTCTCCGATGAACTGCACGTTGTAAGCCGACTCTTACTACAGTCCAGTCTCAAAACCTGCGAGTTAAACAGGTAATTAGCATGAAAGGACATAGGTTCAACCAGATTGTAGCGTCTCAGCTCGGTTCATTTGAGTTAACGGGTGGACCGGGAAAGGATGTTACACATATGTAGCAATAAACATGTACTCACATATGGAATGTAAGCACACATATCATGATACTTTCATTATCCATACTTGCTGCTCATTATACTGTATGATTATGCAATTTGTAGTCCACATAACTGTATAGCTCCATAAGGTTATAGTGAAACCGAAGTGATAAGAAAAACTGTATGAAACTGGATGAAACTGGATGAAACTGTATGCTTGGCTGCTATGGCCATTATAATCATATCCACTCAACCGGCCTTTAGCCGGAGTATAAAACTGTATGCGGGTGCAGATCTGCTATCCTGATGTCGCGAATAGCCTTATCTACATGGTTTTACCTAACCTCAATGGAGCATAATGTTGGTATTATAACACAACAGCATATTAATGGTTTCATAACTTCATAAATCATAATGTTTACTTGGTTTCACATCATTTGCATGCTTGCATGTTGTTTTGATACATGTTCTTATGTTTTCTTTTTGTTTTAAAATGATTGGAGGCATACAAGTTGAGCAAAGGAATATAATTGCATAGAAAATGAAGTCCAAAAGAGCATAAAAACACAAGTCGCGAGCGCGCCATGAAAAGTTCCAATTGCATTGAAAATGAAGTCCAAAAGTGCATGAAAACACAAGTCGCGAGCGCGAGATGCAAAAATGAGAGTCAGTGAGTTTCCAGGCCAAAGTCGCAAGCACGCAAATGAAAGTCGCGAGCGCGTAAAGCACCAAATGAGAGTCAGAGAGTTTCCAGGCACAAGTCGCGAGCGCGCGACATGTTTTCCAGCCTGCATAGT